TATTATAATTACGGCCCGCGTTATGTTACCCCGGTACCGTTTAGCCATGTTCTAACCGAAGTCGGCCAGAATTCGGCCTGCCGCGGCATAATCGATACATCTCACGGCTGCTTACGCACGCGAGATAACTATAAATAGCGATTGGTTGCAATATTTAGTTGGAAGTGTGTGTCCGTAATGGCATAGCTAAACATTAATTGTTTGGAGTCCCCATCTCCATCCTCATCTGCTCAGTAACGAATAATGTCTAGCTAGTCGAGTGTGTTAAAAAAGTATCTTGCGATTCAGAGAATTTCAGGACTGAACTTATAGGATATACCTCTCCAGGACGTCTGTAAACTTTTTTATTATAATAAAACTATGTCCTAATTCGGTCCTCATATGTCCCGAATTGGACAGCTTGGGGTCAAATACGGACGTCCTGAGGACATCTGAAACAGTCTATTTCGGAAGTCTGTGGACGTACTACGAACGTACTTTTGCAGACCCCGGACATCCTGAGGACGTTCGGGTTGTCCTGGGTGGAAGTCCTACGAACGTCCTACGAACGTACTTGTGCTATCTGGGAAGCAGTTAATTAGTAAGTTAATATTAGCTCTGTTATTATTACATTCAAAGAAGAGATGATCTAGATCGCCAAATTTTCCACATGAACATAGTGGGTCGTCTTTTACTCCTATTCTACAGAGGTGTGCAGGATAGGAACAATGACCCTTTCTGACTGCTTATTGTTGTAATATATTCTCTGTTTGTAAAATTTATGTTGTAAAACCATGGAATTTTCCAGGATTTATTTTCTAGGAAAGCATAGTTCTTCCCCTTATACACTGACGATTCTTTCCAATGTTTATGCCAGCTATTATACAATAATTTTTTTGAGGCTTAGAAAAATTCTGAGGTAGGGATTTCATATTTTTCTGTGTTTTTGTTTGCTGCTTCTTTGGCTATAGCATCTGCCCTTTCATTTCCAGTAATCCCTGAGTGACCAGATCCAACATAGAGCCCCTTTTCCCCCATAATCTTTAATATCATTGTATAACTGGTTAATACTTAAAGAAATGTTGTTAGATTTTCCGGTCCATGGATTATTTTTTATCTGTCTGAGTACGCTCAGAGAGTCTGAGAAAATAATAAATTTTTTTAGTTTATTTTTTAAACAAATTTTTAACGCAAAAAAAATTCCCAACTGTTCTGCAAGAAAGATAGAGGCAAAGTGGGTTATTTTAAATGATTTTTCAATTTTTAAGGAAGGAATATATATGCCAAAAGAAGTGCTATCTAAATTTTTTTGGAAAGAACCGTCAGTGTATATATGAACGCAATCTGCCCAATCTGAAGCCAATTTAATATTGAACAATTTATTTATTATTAATGGGTCTGTACTTTTATCAGCGCTCCAATCCAAGATTACGGGGATTTTGGATATTTGTATGAAGTAATCAAAGCAAAATATGGGTAATCTAATAGTTGTGGAAAGCATGTCAATCTTATCCTCATATATCTCCAATGACTTAAATAAACAATGGTTTTTAAAATATTTTGATTTGGTATTTTTAAGGACTTTGTCTCTAATTTTAAGAAGCCCTGTGATAACAGGATCATTTTTCCTACTTAGCCTTTTTAGTAAGAATATATCCGATAGAAATTGCCTTCTTAGATTTAGCGGAGGGTCTCCAGCTTCAATCTGGAGGGAATTGGTGGGAGAGGACTTCATCACCCCCAGACATGTTCTCAGAGATAAATATTGAATCCTATGTAACTTTGTCAAAAGAGCTTTTCTGCATGAATTGAACAGGAAACACCCATACTCCATTCTGGATCTTATGAATCCCCTGTACCTACATTGTCAGTAGTGTTTTCGGGTCTCCACCCCAAGACACCCTAGTCAAACTTTTTATTGTATTTAGAACTCTGGTGCAGGTGTCACTTAATTTATTTATGTGTGTTGACCAACTAAGATCATTCTCAAGATACATCCCCAGAAACTTGTATGCTTTTACGAACTCTATCTGGCATTAATTTATTCTGATAGTTGGAGAAGGATTTTTTGATTTTAAAAAGAGGATTGCCTTAGATTTTTCCGGACTCAACGATAGACCCAATTCCATTAGCCATATATTTAGAGCTTCCAATGAATAGTTAATGTAGAATTTAGAGAGAGAAGTATCATTATTACTAGTATATATTACAATGTCATCAGCATATTGGAGAATTTTGCACTTTATATTAATGGGGGAGTCTATTCCTCTGGTGTAGATGTTAAATAAGGTGGGGCTAAGGGCCGACCCTTGTGGGAGGCCCTTATATGAAACTCTCTTTACTCTAGTGCCAATGGTATAATTGCCACTGGTATAATTGTTCATCCATAATAAAAACACAAAATCGTATCATGGTAGTCCGTGATTAAAGGTAATGTCATTGGATTATTTCAAAATGTTAAACACCAATATTTTTATACTTGAATTATTTGTTTAGTCTTAAATATAAAATAAAACTTAATTAAGTAAACCAACATTTTTCTACAATTTTCGTTCCTATGCTCATTTTGACATCATATGGAAGTCCACTTCCAACGTACATTGTATGTACATTTATTACATAACATGGACATCCTATAGTGTGCCAAAGTTACGTTATATATATAACGTACATATGTACATGGAACGTCCATATAATATTCTTGGACATACTATGGATATCCATTTGTATAGAGATGGATGTCCTATGGACACCATATGGACGACTTTGTGCTCTATGGGTAACCACATATTTCAAACATATTATGAGGTTTTTTTGTTAAAAAAATCAGTGGCCTTGCACATGTGCACAATATAATTGAGTAATAAATTAAAAGAAAAAATACTAGCATATATATATAGGTATATGATTTTTAAAATTTACGGGCCTGAAATTTATTTTAATATTAAATAATAAAAATAATAATAAAAAAGACATAGCAATATGTGATTGGCTGTAAAAGGCGCTTGAATATGTAATAGCGCCTCTAAACCCTCCATGCGGAACAATGTGCTGCGGAAGATCAGCATGGTACGCATAGAAATATTTTATTCAAATCAAATTATTATTATTATTATTTCAATGTCCCCTTTTCTCGCTGGGCGAGGAATTTATATTTTAAACACTTCGAAGCAGGGATCCCTGCTTAAAATAGGTATCCCATAGAAACCTAAACAATCTATCGGGCGCTACCGGATATGTGCATTTGTCCATTTTTTTTTTCCGGATACGGTCTGATAGAAAATGTATAGGAAATTACCCATAGGCCAGTGATGTAACCGATACATTTTTTTCAGTATCTAGGTACCGATACAGATACTCTCTGGTAGATGTATCTGGGTACAGATACCGATACATTTTCCCGAAAGTATCTGGGTACAGATACAGATACATTCAAAAAGTATCTAAGTTACTTCCAGATACTATGTTAAAAAAACTTAAAAATTAAATGACAAAAAAAATTTTTTTGGACCTTATAAACAAGCGTGTTAACTATAAAATAAAACTGTTTTGATAAAATTGACGAAATATCCATGAAAAACGGAAATAAATTTTATATTTACGCGCCATATGAAAGCTTACTACAAAATTTGTAGTACAAATTCAAAATAAAATGTATCTTGTATCTAAGGATCTAGATACTTTCAAAAGGATCTATAGATCTATCTATAGATACTTAAGTAGATCCTGATTTTTTAAAGTATCTCGATACGTATCTAGGTACATAAAATGTATCTAGATCCAGTATCTAGATACATGTATCTCGATACATTACATCACTGCCATAGGCACACCATAACTTTTACATTTTCCCTATTGAGACCGATAGCAATAAACTCAATGAAGGATATATGGGGATATCCCTATAGAGCAACCATAAAACATTTGACAAAATTTTATTAAAGCCTATGGGGTCCTATGGGGGAAAAACTAATTTCTACATTTATGTGTATTTTCCCCATTGAAACCAATAGCAAATAAATCAAAGGTGGATATCCCCAAAGAACACAAGTGTTCTTTGGATATCCCTATAGAACAACCATAAATCCCAACTATGGGTCTTATACATACCGATACACCCTATAGAAACACCATACATTCCGATACAAATATCTATCGGTTTGAACAGTGTCTCTATGGGGTATTTAACCCTTAACTATAGTCGCGCAGGTGCACTGAGAGCCCCGTTTTTATTAAAACCTCTATAATTATAGTTAACTTTATGTCGTTTTCTTGGAATTAAATGCCATGTAATTAGGTTAACCTATGACTGATGTGTCTGCCATGCACTGTCGACGGCATATTCAGTTTAAACTATAGTTATGGACAAAAAGCTTGAGATTTATTTAGAAATACTTTACGTAACTAAATTTCAATTTTTGTAATGTAAACTATTTCTAAATCAACAAAATATGGAATTTAAAACATAATGGTTTTTAAGGTATACAATGTATACTATACATTTTTATAAGAATACACAAATAAAAAAAGAACGGCTAAATTTCCTTCTGATTTCTTCTTTTCTGAGTAGAAGTAATAACTTTTTTGTTTGTTTTATTTTTTGTTATTAGCTTTTTGTTTTTTTTTTAAATAAATATTGTGTTTAAATAGAAATAGAGTTTATTCATCCGAATATAACCAAAAGTAATATTAAATTTAAAAACATTCAGCGATATAGCCATTTTAAGGAGCGGAGCACTCAGTGCACCGCGCGACCACTTATGTTACAAAAATTGGCGCGAGTAGTTAAGGGTTCTTGCCGTGCAGTATAGGACATCGCTCGGGGTGCACTAGCAACTACGAAATCATAATAACGTATTTTGGGTTGCATACCTATCAAAAGTAAAATAATAAGATTATTATTAAAAATACAAACAAAAAAATTACAAAATGTATTTTATTTAATAATAATTGCAGCTTGGTCCCTTTAAACTTTAACTTAATTATAAAATTTTAAAACAATTTTGAGGTTAGCTTTACAAAATAAATTGACAGCTGTCACAAATTATGCAAGTATTTTTGTTTATTATTATCTACGGGTAGTGCAGTGTATCCGATGCCTAGATATCTTTTAAAAACCGCACGATTATGGTGTTAAATTTATATCATTACTCAAGCGTTTTAAACATGTAAACGCAACATTTATGTTTATTTATATTGTTGGAATTTGTTATTGTTAACATTGTTGGAAAATGCCTCCACTTCCCATTATTACCGCTGCTGTTGAGTCGACGGAGTCAGGTTGTTTTTGCAAACGTTGCAAAATTCATTAAACTTACTTTTGCATAATTTTTAGAGAACCGTAGTATCACTGACAGTGTTGGTTCACATTCAGATGGGTTACAAGTAAATATAATGCGGCCACATGTGGATGTTTGTTGTATTATTGATACCATACAAATTGACAATATTGCCAACAGAAAAAAGGCTTTGGAAGAAGTTAAACAAGCATGTTTATTGGTAGGAGCCAATTTCAATCACATCCAGGTAATGATACTAAAATACTGTACCTACCATGAAATGTAACCCTTTTTGAATTGGTCATTTAAGTAAAATTTAATTTTTAAAGTTTTAAGGAATTTTTTAACTATTGTGTAGATTTTTTTAACTAAAAATTATGATTTTTTTTTTTAAAGATATCACAATATCACAATTATGATAGTAGAAAACTGGTTGATTACTTTAAAAGCTAAATCGCGTTAATAAAGAAATCCTCTAAAAACTTTGGAATTTACATTATTATTTATTAAAGTTGCCTCTATTACAGCCAAGTGCATCCTAACAATGATTGACAAGCTTGTTTAATAGCACCACCCTCTTGTACCGGTTTTTTCACAATACACATATTGTATTTGAGGAGGTGCATTCCAAAACTCGGCTTATCCATATTAGTTGTTTTCAAGCAAAATATGAGTGCTAATGCATATCAGGCCAACACAATACTTTAAACGAAATATATAGAGTCAATCCAAATGAAAACACCAAAAATGAATTTAAAAGTGCGCTGCATGATTTTTTATTTTAATGAAAAAATTTGAGGATGATCTCTTAGGTATCAATATATGAAAAACCGTTGCCGTTTTAATTTTTAGTTGCTTTATTTTTAATTGGCACCCTTTAGAAACCTGAAATCGTGTCATTTTCTTACTCTCTTACGCAATTATTGAAATCATTGTAATTTTATTTTACTGCCTAGTAAGTATGTTTTCAATATTAATTATTATTATCTAATTAGTTCATCTCATAAAAGAATGGCACAAATACGCACAAATAATATTTATGAAATATTTCCTGAAAGTTTCAGATTTTTATTTTTTCCTTAAATAATGATTTCTGAGGGCAAAATTGGCTAATTTTGAAAATTATCAAATTTCAATAATTTTTTTAATAAAGAAAATGATAGTCTAGAAACTTAAAATAATAGTTACGTTTTCTATTGTATAAGTACTTGATACCTAAAAAAAGCAACTTTCTAGATTTAGCAGAATAGGCACAGGAGCCAGACAAAAATCACAAAAATTGGCAAATTATTACAAATCTTTAGTGGTTTAAACCATAATTACCATTCTTTCATGAGATTAACTAATTGGATGATAATAATTTTTATCGAAAACACACTTACTGAACAGTAACACAAAATTAAAATCATTTCAATATTTGTCACAGAAAAAAAGTTCTGGTCCAATATAAGAGAGTAAGAAATTGACACGATTTCAGATTTCCAAAGGGTGCCGATTAAAAGTAAAGAATCCAAAAATTAAAACGGCAACGGATTTTCATATTTGATACGTAAAAGATCATCCTCAATTTTTTTTATCAAAATAAAAAATCAAGCAGCGCACCCCATTTGGTGTTTTTATTTGGAATGACTGATAGGCATACGTAAAACATTTATATACCTTTATTAATTAAAATAATATAAAATTACATACATATATGCCGAGTTCTGCACGATATAACCAATAGATAAGGCAAGTTTTGGAACGATAGTTGATTTGTAAATGAATTTTAAATGGAATAAGGTGAGTTTTAGAATATTATGAACTTTTCAGGGTATAGGGGGATACATGTTAAATGTACAGACACCACTAACTCATTTTTATTAAAAAGTGGATAAGCCAAGTTTTGGAATGAACCTCCTTATTTTATATGAATACTATCCAAGCTAAATTTTTCATATACCTACTCACAACCAAACTTATATGGAAAGTATTTAATTTTGCATTGGGTTCTTTATTGTTTATATATCCAAATTTACCATATATGCTTAGTATATATCTTTAAGGTATAAAAGTTATAAATGCAAATACATGTATACAATGTATATTTGCATTTAAGACTTTCATACCTTAAAGATATATATTAAGCATATATGGTAAATTTGGATATATAAACAATAGCGTTTAAGATTTTCAAAAATGTCAGTTAGTGACTTTTGGCAGGAATATGAAGATATATTGAATTTTGATTTATAAACAACCATGTTAATTTAATTTTAAAAATATTTCAAAAAGGTACTTAAAATTAAATTAAATATTTACAATCCAAGACCTAGCTTTGAATTATAGTAACACTTTCTGTTTTCCTCAGTTAAGTTGAATAGTCTGCCGGTTTTCGATCAGACGCACAATTAATCAGTCATTAATAAAATAAAGTAGCCAATCACAGGCGTGTTTTAGCAGAATGATTAGTGGTGGGAGAACTATAATGTGCAGCTTAATATTAGAAATTCTATATAAAATCGTAGCGTAAAATGACCTTAATTTTATGTTTGACATTGTCACTGTCAGTATTTTAGTTTTTAGGTTAGTTTTAACTTGAGACATTAGGCGCATTTTATTGAAAGTGGAATGGAATAAAAACAGAATGATTCCCGTTTGCAAATTCATTCTGAGCCCTGTCACTTTGCCAAAGGTGGGGGAATTTATGAACCTAATAACCAATTGTGTGGATTGTGACCTCAATTTTCTTTTTAAAGTTTAAAAATATGGATAACGCACAGTTATTACTTGCTGGGTTTATTATAAACCATAATAGTCTTTAAAATTGGCGGTTGTTAAATGCACTTTTTTCAGGGGAATATCCCCCCACTCTGCCTCATTCTGAAGATTCCAAACAAAAGTAAGGAATCATCGGAATGACATTAATGACAGAAGAATCATTCTGTGACTCAAAAAAACAACCATTCATTTAAGGGAGAATAGGGAGAATGGGCAATAAAATGCAGCTATTCTTTTTTTAGGGAAAATTGGTGACCCTAATACAGATTAACAATCATTTTAAACGTTGTGTTTCTTAAAGAGGCGCCTGTAAGCCTAAAAGTGCCAAGAACAACCGTTTTAGTCGAATAAAACGGTTGTTCTTGGCACAGGATCCTATTTTGGTAAAAATAAACCTTATTCTATCAGGGCTGTCATTAAACTGTCAAACACAGAACATAAGCTGTCAAATTTCAATTTTAAGGTTAAAACCCACAAAGGCCTCATTTGAGACTTTAAATTTCTCTAACTAAATAATAATGTTAAAATTAATTATTATTAATATTAATAAAATAATTATTTTAACATTTAAAAAATCAACCTTGTATTAACTTATTTATTAAGTCGCAAGTTAAAAAATAACAAAAAGAAAAGGTGAGTCTATTTGAGGAGGTCCATTCCAAAACTCGGCTTATCCACTTTTTAATAAAAATGAGTTAGTGGTGTCTGTACATTTAACATGTTTCCCCCTATACCCTGAATAGTTCATAAAATTGTATAACTCACCTTATTCCATTTAAAATTTATTTACAAATTGACGTTCCAAAACTTGCCTTATGTATTGGTTATATCATGCAGAACTCGGCATATACGTATGTAATTTTAAATTATTTTAAATTGGAGCTATACCTTTTTAATCAAGGTATATAAATGTTTTACTTATGCCTATATATTTCGTTTAAAATATTGTGTTGGCCTGATATGCGTTAGTACTCATTTGTAAAGTTTTTGACGTTTTGCTCAAAAACAACTAATATGGATAAGCCGAGTTTTGGAATGCACCTCTTCATTTGTCACACGCAAAAAAATGAACATTTCTCCTGAACCTAAAAAACCAAAACACTGACAGTGACAGTGAAAAAATAAAATTAAGGTCATTTCACAAAGAGTTCGATTTTATCCTTCAAGGGCTCCTCATCGCTCCATGAAAAAGTCTGAAAATAGTTGACTTTGACCCAGGAAGGATAAAATGGGGTTCCCGGTATAGAAATATACCTGTATTTCTCGACAATATCGCAAGGTATTTTGTGATTTGTGCAATTGATTTAGTGGATTTTTCAAGATTTGAAATGCCAGGGAGAGGCTTATGGTACTCCGGACGTAGTGGATTATAAATATATATAGAGATAGAGTCATTTCACAATATGATACTTCCATGGAATTTCTACAGAAGTTTGCATTGCCCCACCTCTAATCATTCTCATCATTATTCAGTCATCGCGGGACTTTGATATAAATAATTAAGGTTAATTTTCTGTCAGTATCAAGATAATTTCGTATTTTATATAAATAATACAATATTAGTATATTATTATACGAGAGATACTGGGCATTATTTCGAGTGTAAAACTATGTTTTTTTTTACTCCAATTAAGTAATTCATTAATAACAAAATTTATAAAAACCTCACTTTCTCCAGATTTTAAAGATCATTATAGGTGCCCTTCCTATATATAAAAAAATTGACATCTGCTAACCTTACTTTTTCCCGATTTAATTAGTTTAAATACCAGTAAATATTAAAATCAGCCAATCACTGATGCCGAACAACGTGGGGCGGTAATAATGGTTACCGTTATTTAAGGAAAAGGTCGAAATAATGTCAATAATATGCAATATTGATTAAGTGCGCCATTTTCGAGACGTCCTGTGTATAATTATAGACCAATAATAAAAACAAATTTGTTAACATTAAAACGCTTGGTAAAAAGGTTATAACATTTTTATTTTTAGTTTGAAAAACTTGACTTTGGAGAAGCCAATGTACTTAGTAGTTTTTACAATGCAGATGTTGTTATTATTGATATGACTATTACAAACCAGCAAAGCACATTATTTTACCATCTGGGAGTCAGGGAAAGCTTTAATATGAAACAAAATATTCTTATCTGCAATGATTTAAGTTTGGAAACGACACAAAGGCTTAGAGTAAGTAAATTTTTTTTATAAAATTTGATAAATATTTTTGTTAGTAATTTATGATAAATATTATTATAAATAATGTATGTATTATTTTAATACAGCCTTGAGGTGTATTTGACAAAAAAGGGATAACAATTTTTGTATTTCGTGGAATTTTTATTTATTCATTTACATCAATGTTATCCTCTTAAAAATATTCTTTATTGGATATGACACTTATGCAAAAAATTAAATCATTTTTGCTTGTAAAAAAACGGCGCTTTAGAATTTTCTTTATTTTTGGAAATAAAAAAGTCACACAGGACTATTTCTGACACTTATGGGGGCTAGGACATCACTACGGTATTGTTTTCGACCACCTTTTTTACTAATAGTAAACTCACCAAAATATATATTTAAATATTGCCAAACTAAACTATCCTCTGTGGGTTTTACTATGGCTTAATATTGTAATGTTATTATTATAGTGGACAGGGGAGGGTCACCTTAATAGTTGCCGCCTCTTTTTTTTTTAAAGATTGTTGATAGATTAGGTTGAAAACTACTTTTAGTTGGTTAATTTTCAACGCCGCTTAGTACTTTATATAACTTTGCCGGAATATTCTCACTTTCTGGCGCCTTATGGTTTTTGAGAGCGCTAATTGCCTGTTTTATTTCCTTAACAGTTATTTCGCGGTCAAGAGATTGATCGAGCTCATGTCAAGGAGCTATAATTTTAATGAAAACTGGCCAAGTACCTCGTCACCGTGCTTTTGTTTTGAGCGTGCTAGCTTTGGTTGAGGTTGTTGATTCAGCACTGACTAAGGATGATGCTAGGAAACTGGGACCTATACAAAGAGGTACTAGAACGTAACCTTGAGATCTGACCAAAGGATGCAAAGGATACCTTTAATCTCGGATGCTTATGAGCAGGCATGTCCACTGCAGAATAAATCCAAAAAATCTGTTAAACAAAGCCATAAGAACGAGAGTATGGCACTTGTACAGACACCATCTAACCGAATACAATAATGACATCAAAAGGCTAAGAAACTAGGTTGGAAAAAACTATGCCGGAAACTAAGAGAAATACCGACCTACTCCCGACTTCACAAGGCCAAGGGCTATGCCTAAAATCAAAAGGAGATTACACGACGACCAAAAGTGAGACACTTGGACTCATGTTGAGGACTCAATTTCAAGGATCAATCATTCAAACCATTTAAATCTGCCGAAACAGCCATGTTAAAGCAGGGTCAAGACGTGCTGCTGCCAAGGCCTTCAATCTTCAGAGCCAGTCTGTTTCTCAAACATATACCGGAAGGCCGGAGGGAGGCACTGGTGGTATTCATACCAAAACCAGGTAAAACCTCATATGACACAGCAAAATCTGACCAATCCGCCTAACATCATTTCTTCTAAAGACAGAAGAAAAATTGATAAAGCGCACATACGGAAAAAAGTACTGCACCGAATCCAATTTGCCTACTAAACAGGCAAAGCCTTTTCATGAGATAACCCGAAGGGCTGAGCAATATTTAAATAATAAATATGTGTCACTTGGAGCATTCCTGTATATCGAAAAAGAGTTTAACACGTCATACAACTCAATAAATCAATCCATAAGCGATCGCAACATAGAACCTCTGGTTGGGGAATGAATCAAAGAGATGCTCACTCATCGACGAACCAGAACTACTTTTAACAACACAACGTTTAGAGCCAAAGTGTATATGCACTATGTATAAACACTTTGGTGTTGTTAAAAGTAGTTCTGGCTCGTCGATGAGTCAGCATCTGTTTGATTTATTCCCCAACCAGAGGTTTTGGTAAACACATAGGCTACGTTAACGTAGCCCATATGTTTACCAAAATGCAAAGACCGCTAAATGCTGTCGAAAACTGGTGCAACGAGGAGGTACTTGAGATAAATCCCACGAAAACTACTCTAGTTGCCTTTACATAATAAATATCCAATATAAATCGAGTGATATACAGGGTGGCCGATTTATCTGAAGACATTGAAATATTTCGAAAACTATGCATCGGATCAAAAAAAGTTTTGAATAAAATTTGTTCGCCTGGAAGGGGGACATCCAATGATACCAAAGTCGACCCCTCACCACCACCCCATGGGGTGGGGGTGGGGGCAACTTTAATATTCTAAATAGGAACCCCCATTTTTTATTGCAGATTCGGATTTACTATTAAAAAATAAGTAACTTTTATGGAAAAACTTTTTTTTAAATTCCTGATAGATGGCGCTGTAATCGCGATTTTTGGGAATATCTTGAAAAATTGCAGATTCGGATTTCCCATTAAAAAATATAATTAGTGTATACGAGAATTGTAAGGGAATTCAAAATAAATTAAATTAATTAATTCCTTTTGATGTTCCCATGTTCCCATGGCCATGGGGTGGGGGTGGGGGCAACTTTAATATTCTAAATAGGAACCCCCATTTTTTATTGCAGATTCGGATTTACTATTAAAAAATAAGTAACTTTTATGGAAAAACTTTTTTTAAATTCCTGATAGATGGCGCTGTAATCGCAATTTTTGGGAATATCTTGAAAAATTGCAGATTCGGATTTCCCATTCTTGGGTAATTTTAAAAATAGATGTTAACTTATTGATATACGAATAAAATCCAAAAATTAAACAAGTTTTTCTTTTTTTCGATCCGATGTGTAATTTTTTAAGATATTCCCAAAAATCGGGTTTCTTGCGATTACAGCGCCATCTATCAGGAATTTAAAAAAAGTTTTTCCATAAAAGTTACTTATTTTTTAATAGTAAATCCGAATCTGCAATAAAAAATGGGGGTTCCTATTTAGAATATTAAAGTTGCCCCCACCCCCACCCCATGGGGTGGTGGTGAGGGGTCGACTTTGGTATCATTGGATGTCCCCCTTCCAGGCGAACAAATTTTATTCAAAACTTTTTTTGATCCGATGCGTAGTTTTCGAAATATTTCAATGTCTTCAGATAAATCGGCCACCCTGTATATTTGCAAACCCTAAGGTTCGCAAATATCATGATATTTATATAAATATCCGATATATCAATGATATATATCCGATATATATCAAGTGAAGAAAACTAGAGCCCGCACAGTGGTCTGAGAGGCAAATTTACGCGGCAAAAATCCAATTTTTAAAACACTTTATTAACGCATTTTGATGCCTCTTTATTGTTCGTGACAGATTATTACCTAAGATTTTAATCTGTGAAGTAGAATTTACTGCGTATGCGTTGCGTTATAACAAATACATGAAAATATTGTCAAAAATACTCTTACTTTCGGAATCTTGTCTTTTTCGTGTAAAAAAAGTGTTGCGTAAATATAGTAGTGAAAATTAGTGTCAAAAATATATAGTAGGGATAAAGTTGAGTACAAATACAACTTTAAAATGTCTTTTTTGGATTTTTTGCCAAAAATATAGCGTTTTTTAACCTACAAAAGTTTTGTAATAACAAATAATAAATGGAATATAAGTAAAAATTTATATTTACTTGCCCAGAACCACAAAGGGCATTCGAAAATATGAACCTCCAACCTCCGACTTTATAAAAATTCAGAGTTATGCAAAAATGAAAAATGGCCGACAAATTACCGCTAATCTGGTCATAAAAGTAATATATTTTTTAAATTTGACAATAATTATTGCATTTAAGAATGGTAATACAACTTTCTTTACTCCTATTACATAATATTATTTTTTTAATATACTTTGTATATTACCTATACAGTGTGCCCATGGATGGTAATGACAATAGAAAAAACTTTTTTATTAGGTATGATACGAAAAAAACATGTTATTTAAAAACTCTTGCTTGTTTCAAAAATAAGATTCCCACATAAACATTTTGAATTAAATGTACAGGGTGCTCAGAAACTAAAAAAATATATATATACAAATAAGAGAGAAATGTGGTAAGATATTCGTAACGGAATCGCAAAAAATCATTATTCATAAAAACTTCTGCTTGTATTTAAAAATGAGATTCCTAAGAAACATTTTTAATTAAATGTCCAGGGTGCTCAGAAAATAAAAAAAACAGCAAAGTGCTTTAAGAGGGTAGTACAATAATTATTGTTCTATAGGAATCTCATTTTTAAAACAAGCAAGAGTATTTAACGCATAATAAAAATAATAAGTTTTCCTATTGTCAACCATCACGATATTGGCTAAAGGGTTGTAAAAAACAAATATAGTGAAATGTAAAATGTTGATATAATAAAATATTTTTGATACTTTGAAGGTAATGGTTTTTCGGTTATTCATGATAAAAAATTATGCTTGCGCCATGTTGCAATCGCCAACATTGGCGATCGCCCCCTGGTACGATCTATAAACATTTATTTATTTAATAAATAAATTATTAAATATAAAACATAAAAAAAAACAAAAAATACACAAATATTAAAAAAAATCATTTTATATCATTTGACTAGACTTAGCCCCTTCAATACCAAATATTTTTGAAAAAAATTTATATAAGAAGTAAATTTAGCACCCTTAAAAACATAAAACATCACACGTCTTGGGAAAAATATTTAAAGAATAATTTTTGCCGCGTAAATTTACCTCTCAGTCCACTGTGGCCCGTGAGGAATCTAATCTTCGACGGGAAGACCCTGCTTTTAGTATCTAGGAGTAATACTGGTTATGAGACTCACGTATCAGAAGCATATAAAAAATAGCAAATAGGGCCATAAAAGCCTTATGGCCTATAAGAGAGATTTGGTAAATCTTGGGGACTGTCACCAGGCATGGTACAATGGGAGTGCACAGTAATAGTCAGACCCATATTCACGCGGTACTAATCTGGTGGCACGCAACAAAAACAAGGACTGTAAAACAAACTCTTGGCAAAATTTAAAGAATGGCATGCTTGGGTATATCTGGTGCAATGACAACTACACCGTCCGCAGCCATGGAAAACATACTGGGAGTACCAGCATTCACATTCAAAGGCAGTATTAGAACGTCTGAGAAATGTGAAGGCGCTAGCCGAAACACAAAACAAAATTACCTTTATCCTGGTGCAAGGAGAAAGCAGAAACACTCTGGCGAGGTGGAAGCCAACTTCGCGGCTGATGGGGCCAGAACCCACATGCGGCATCAGTATAAAACTACAACACAAACTATACTGAGAAAGTACTCCTGATCTGGAGCATTTAAAAGCATTTGGATGATCCATCTGCAGAAAAGCAACTAATGAAGACTTACACCAGGACCCAACTAAGAAAAGCAACAGTCCATGCTCCCTTAAAAAAAACACCTCTACCTAATGGGGATAGCGAATGACCCTGCAGAGGATGTTGACAGTATGTGTCACGTTAAGGCCTTTAACACCTTAAGAGAAATACACTTGAGAGAGACCAAACTCACATGAGAATACATCAAATTACTTCCCAAGGTACAGCTGCTGCGCTTTACGGAAGCAACGGAGCTGGGACTGTGGAAATGAAACCATTTAGGGCACAATAGGATTGCATAAGCAAACCGCAGGGGTTTGAACCACCTAATGGGGGAGTTTTAGTGGGTATACGTCAGGGACGAAGTCCCACACTACTTGAAATCCCATGGGAGACCAAGTGTTCGTAAAGAATTTCTCCGCCGGCCAAAGAAAAAAAAATAAGGGTGATGCTGCTTCTAACTATTTTTACTTTTAGGGATCTTTTAAGGTAATATTAGTCGCAATGACGATTTAGCTTTTATGATTTTCACCTCCCGTATCTGAGACTTTTTGACGATAACATAGTCTATTAGGTGCCAATGACCGGATCTAAGATGGCGCCATGTCCCTTTGTATTCGTGACGATAAGGTCCCACACTACTTGGAATCCCATGGGAGACCAAGTGTTCGTAAAGAATTTCTCTGCCGGCGAAAGAAAAAAAAATAAGGGTGATGCTGTTTTCTTACTCTTTATTTCTGGGGATCTTTTAAGGTAATATTAGTCGCAATGACGATTTAGCTTTTATGATTTTCACCTCCCGCTTCTGCGACTTTTTGACGATAACATAGTCTATTAGGTGCCAATGACCGGATCTAAGATGGCGCCTTGTCCCTTTGTATTCGTGACGATAAGGTTGTTCTCGCCATTTGTGTTAAAGTTGCTAACTCCATTTGTGCCGATTACTCCAGGCCAGAGATCAGCTTGGCGGCTAACTCTAGCATTGAATTCACCGAGCTGTTTAGGAACATACTTATCCTAAACTTCCTGATCAGAGTCTAGCTTCGGCGCGTATGCGCTTATTACGGTAACAAAGGTCTGATCTTGTAGCTTGTATTTTAAAGTCATAAGTCTTTAGACGCGACTAAGCTCGTGAGCGATTGTTACTGTTTTTCTTTCGGCGTGCTATGAGAAATCAGTGTCTTGGAGAGTACGTATGTTTCAGTCAGCGAAATTAAATAATCTTGATTTTTCCTTGGTTAGATGATTTGTTCCAGCAAACACCCTCCCCGTGAGATCCAAACAATTCATCTTGTTCTTGAACTGCGTGTGAGGATATCCAAGGCAAGCTCTACCTTAGCTTTGGCCACATACCTGAGGCTTAGTTGCCCAATGGACAATGGAAAATGTCCATGGCGCATAGAAACTATGACGACGGGCCGTTACGCCAGGCCAATAACCCTTCCCTGAACTGTTGGTAGTGTTCATGGGGAGCATAGAGTTATACCGCCCTCGGTTAGAGCCTCGTCTGTGGTAACAGTTTGCTCCGCGCGAAGGTTAGGTGTATAAAACCACCATTTGTGTTTGTCGTATTGTGTATAAGTTCTTTAAGCCCGTGGCCCGTTTCTCCCCATAACCCGCTCAAGCAATGCCTAAATGTAGTTGCGCTTCTGGAACTTCTTAGAAAGTAAAAGCGGAACTAAAGAGCACTTTTGTATATAACTTTGTATATACACCCAAAAAGCAATGTAATAAATTTTAATCCGTTTTTATAGCAAAATTTAATAAACACCAATTATTTAATAAAAAATTTCTGATTGTACCAAAACACATGTAATCTTTTTGACAGCTGACTTGACATCCGATAACCCTGCTTAAAATACCCCATAGAGACCTATACAAAATAATCTATCGGGCGCTACCGGATTCAATAAGTGCATTTGTCCATGGTTTTTTCCGGATACAGCCCGATAGAAAATGTATAGGAAATTACCTATAGGCACACCATAACTTTTACATTTTCCCTATTGAGACTGATAGAAAATAACTCAATGAAGGATATATAGGGATATCCCTATAGAGCAACCATAAAACATTTGACAAAATTTTATTAAAACCTATGGGGACCTATAGGGAAAAAACTAATTTCTACATTTATGTGTATTTTCCCCATTGAAACCGATAGCAAATAAATCAATGGTAGATATCCCTATAGAACAACCATAAATCTCAACTATGGGTCCTATACAAACCGATACAAACCGATACACCCTATAGAAACACCATACATCCCAATACAAATATCTATCGGTTTGAACAGGGTCTCTATGGGGTATTTTAAGCAGGGAAGGACTAACTGAGAAAAACAAAAATGTTCCTTACTTTTTGAACACACTTTGTATGCTATCAATATGTTTTTACTACTAAACTTTCGACACATGCACCAAATAACATTAGAAAAAATTTACATAAATAATAAAGAAAATAGTGATAATTGACAATTTTTTATTTATACCAAAATAATACAAAAATTACTTTATTATTTATATTGTGGTGGGAATTTAACATGAAAATAAATACACATGTTCTTGAAATTAAATTTTTTTAAATAAGTTTTAAATTTTAGTTATCTTGTGGTAGCTACTCACTTAATTCTTATAAAATAAATGATGAACAAGTATGTGTGGCCACAAACCCAAATACTGGTAGAGATGAGTCAGTGGAATTATTTCATCAAAGAATTAAAAAAATTCTCCTAGATGTTGAAATACAAAGCAAGTATGTTTATCTACCAAAATGTTAACATCACAGGATTGTGTGATTTCTATTTTTAGAGAGCACATGAAAGAAAAATTTCTGGTAGACCTAAAGAAACTGGTTGAGCAAAAAAGCGGCCCAGAATTACAAGAAGCCTTAAAATGCATTAGAAAACGCATGGATGATCCAAACGTACTTTCTGGGGAGGTGGTACTAAATATGTTATTTTGCTTTCGTGATGTCCAAGATTATGATTCTATGATTCACTTGGTCAATGATTTAAGAACTGTGCCTTCATATAAAAAATACATTAATTCATACATATACTACTTGTATGCTTTTGCTTTGAACCGAAGAAAAAGAAGTGGAGATAGAGAAAAGGCCTTGGAAGTTTGTTTGAATGCGTTAAAAAAAGTAAATATGGTTTTATTTTGGTCTAGTTAACAACTAAAATTTGTTTTTTAGAAAGAAAATAATTTTCCTGACATGGTTTGTTTATGTGGAAGAATTTATAAAGACAAATTTATAGAATCGGACCATACAGATACAAAAAGTCTGGATCAGGCAATAATTTGGTATAGAAAGGGTTTTGAAGTTCAACCTAATGAATATGCAGGTTAGAATGTGAAATATTTAATTCACTTAAATGTACTTATTTCTAGGGTGTGCGAATATTCGAATAGTTATATAGAATTATTCAAATGGATTAAATTTTACAAAATTTAAATTTTTTAATATTAATTACCTATTACAATTAATTATTTGACAATTATTTTTTTTTAACTTTTAATTATGGGAATAGTTTAATTTGTATGATTAGTTTGACCAGTTATTATTGAAAAGCTATTGGAATTATTTAAACCAATCCATTAATTTCAACTAAACTGCTCGTCATAAAAATCGACGCACCTAGTTTTTTGGAAAATATTTGAAAGCTCGTTATTGGAAAATTACTGAATCGATTTTGAAAATCTTTGGAAATTCTGAATAGCTGATTCTTTGACTCTTACGTCTAATTTTGGGAATACGATATTTTGCACATAGCATTATACTACAGGGTGTTAAACGAAGAGATGTATTTTTTCCGTAATTTCAAGTTATTCCCATTCATGAGGGAGTTGAGTTTGAAAGTCGTAATACCCCTCCCTAGTATTAGTAAGGTAATCCCTCGAAACGTTTTTGAGATTTTGTGAATATCGCGGCTTACTACGATATTATATGCCAATTTATCGAAAATTGTCGTTATTTCCCAGTTTAGTCCAAAAAATGAGTAATAGTGGATTCTTTGACCTACGTCTAGTTTTGAGAATACGATATTGTGCACATAGCATTATACTACAGGGTGTTGAAAAAAGAGATATTTTTTTCCAAAATTCCAAATCCCCATTCACAGGGCAGTTGAGCTTGATAGTCCTAATGCCCCTCCCTAATAACAGTTAGGTATTCCCTCGGGACGTTTTCGAGATTTTGTGGATATCTTGGCTAACTACGATTATATACCAATTTTTAGAAAATTGTCGTTATTCCCCAGTTGTCCAAAAAATGAGCAATAGTGAATTCTTTAAATTACGTCTAATTTTGGGAATACGATATTGTGCACATAGCATTATACTACAGGGTGTTAAAAAAAAAGTTTTTCCAAAATTCCAAATCACCATTCACAGGGCAGTTGAGCTTGATAGTCATAATACCCCTTCCTAATAACACCCTGTTGTAAATGACATATAAAATCATATATGAAAAATCCCTGCTGGTTCCAATATGATACTATATGATTTTTGAAACAGACATTACATATAAGACCATATTCATATTCATTTCTACACAGGCATATAAAAAACTGACCATATACAATTTATTACCTATAAATTCATATTCATTCATATATGATTTAAGATGGATTTTCATATAAATTTCTGTCATATAAAACCATATAAACACATACAGTTCATAATACTGATTACATATTGAATCCATAGTGTCATATAACAAACTATAAAAACATATAGAAACACTGTACGGATTCTATATGTTTCTACTGGTCATTTTCAACAGGGCAGGTAATCATTCGGTACATTTTCGAGATTTTGTAGATATCTTGAATAACTACGATTATAATGCCATATAATGCCATATAATTATATGGCAGTTTTTCGAAAATTCACGTTATTCTTCACTTAAGTCCCAAATATGAGCAAACTACGGAAGGTATCAACACAGCGTTTTAAGGTAGGTCACGTGCTTCCACTTCATGTACGTTGCGTGATTCATTAAAAGTGAAATGTTTCACAGAAAACCAATTTTTTTTGGTTAAATTCAAAATAAAAACGCAAACCAAACAAAATTATTCTCGTAAACTTATGCAGGCTATATTCATGCAATTTTCTACAAACAGTTGACTATGAAAGTTTAAAAAATATGGCGCATATCTGTTTTTGAGTTTCCTTCCTTCAATTATTCTTGTCATTTTTTTCGTCGAATATGAAAACATTTTTCAAACAGCAAAACACATTTAAAAAAATAAAATGACGGATGTAAGATTGCATACCACGCCTGCCCTCTTTTTATGCTAGAAGAAGATGGGCACAAGAACATGCAAATTGGGGAAACGATGTGTTGATGACTAATCGATACCTTTCGTAGTTTGCTCATTTTTGGGAATTAAGTGGAGAATAACGACAATTTTCGAAAAATTGCTATTTAATCGTAGTTAGCCAAGATATCCACAAAATCACGAAAACGTCCCGAGGGATTACCTAACTGTTATTAGGAAGGGGTATTAGGACTATCAAGCTCAACTGCCCTGTGAATGAGGATTTGGAATTTTGGAAAAAAAAACATCTCTTTTTTTAACACCCTGTAGTATCATGCTATGTGCACAATATCGTATTTCCAAAATTAGACATAAGAGTCAAAGAATCAACTATTGCTCATTTTTTGGACTAAAATGAAGAATAACGTGAATTTTAGAAAAATTGCCATATAATCGTAGTTAGCCAAGATATCCACAAAATCTTGAAAATGTCCCGAGGGATAACCTAACTGTTATTAGGAAGGGGTATTACGACTATCAAGTTCAACTGCCCTGTGAATGGGGATTTGAAATTTTGGAAAAAAATCATCTCTTTTTTTAACACCCTGTAGTAGAATGCTATGTGCACAATATCGTATTCTCAAAATTAGACGTTAGTCAAAGAATCCACTATTGCTCATTTTTTGGACTAAACTGGGAAAAAAACGACAATTTTCGATAAATTGGCATATAATCGTAGTAAGCCGCGATATTCACAAAATCTCGAAAACGTTACGAGGGATTACCTTACTTATATTAGGGAGGGGTATTACGACTATCAAACTCAACTGCCTCATGAATGGGAATAACTTGAAATTTCGGAAAAAATACATCTCTTCGTTTAACACCCTGTAGTATAATGCTATGTGCAAAATATCGTATTCTTAAAATTAGACATAAGAGTCAAAGAATTAGCTATTCAGAATTTCCAAAGATTTTCAAAATCCATTCAGTAATTTTTCAATAACGAGCTTTCAAATATTTTCCAAAAAACTAGGTGCGTCGATTTTTATGACGAGCAGTTTATTTGAATAGTTAAATATTTGAATAGATTGATTATTTGTTTAAATTTAAATAGTATTCGCAAAACTTTACCCATTTAATTTGAATTAATTTATTTAAGCTATAAATTTGGCAACACTGTTGGTAATAGCAGGTGAAGATTTTATTAAATCCGAGGAACTACAGCACATTGGAATGGTTTTAAACAACTTAATAGGCAAAAAGGGAAGTTTGCAGTCCTTGCAGGACTATTGGGATATTGCCACATTTTTCGAAATTTCCGTACTTGGACAACATTACGTCAATGCGGTTCAGGCTGCTGAACGCATGTTCTATCTCAATCCGCCTGATTGGTACCTAAAGGTAAAATTACTATACCTATTTTTAAATTTATTACACCTTTTTTTAATTTTGTCAACATCAATAATTTGGGGATGCAGTTAAATGAAACAAAAATTACCATACCAGACATTGAATAAAACTCTAAAAATTAGTGAGGGAGTTGGAGATTGCTGGTTTTGCTTCTATACCCCTCAAATAAAGGGCGTCGATAATTTTTTCTTTGGGGGGGGGTAACATACAGTGTGACCCATTTGTTTGCGACTCACCCCTGTAAAATCTATATTTATTGTGCGATTTTTTATCAAGATCTACACTTTAAAACAAATCCGGTTAAAATCGCACAATAAATAAAGATTTTACAGGGGTAATTCGCAAAAAAATGGGTCACACTGTATAAGGAAAATAATTATTTCTACAACCAAGCGAAAAGTACAAATTTGCGCTTCCATGGAAACCATAATAAAGAAACGTTTAGCGTATTTGCGACTTTTGACACAAACGTCAAATTTGAAGTTATCAATAAGTAATTATTATTTTTTACCAAACATTCTTATAGAAACACCGGTTGTATAAAAAATCATGTGTGTAATTCGAGCGCAAAGAGACATTACCGCTCTCGCTCAGGACGACAATGTATCACTTTGCGCTCTTAATACACAAATGGCTATTGCAAAACTCCTTATTGTTTATTTTCTTTTGTACCTATATTGGGGAAAAGGATTGTAAGGTACCCAAACTAAATATCTCATAAACATATATTCTTTTTAAGTAGGTAATCTTTTTAAATATAAAATTCAAATTACAAAATTATGTCTTTTTTTCATTTTTGCAAAACGATTCAATATTTAACTAGACTTTAGTACATCAGATATGCGCACAAGATTCGAGAGATTATTAATCTTAGGATGCTGGGGGCGGACGCTCACTAGATGATGCACACAAGATGCGAAATCATTGCGATTTTGCGAATTAAATTCACTATCTACCTTACCACCATTTAGTGTAATAGTAATAAAATAGGGCTTTTATTATGCCACACTTTAAAAACTATTCATAGAGGGCGACATGCATTCATACATTAGATTAAATCTTGTAGTAATTTGTTTTCTTAGGACTATCTGGGGGGGGGGCAATTACCCCCCTTATCGACGCCCTCGCCTTAAATACAGTGATCAAAGGGTAATATAAAACTTAAAGTTAAGTTTAAGTCTTAAACTGCAAAAACAATGGAACCTCGCAATATTCACAAATTTTAGTATTTTTGCCTAATTTGGGTAAATTTTTAATTAGTAAAACTTAGTAACAAAACCCATTGTAAGGCATTTTTTATAATCTATGCACGGTGGTCCTCGATTAATTTCAACCAAAAAGTCTGCACCTCGATTTTTTCTTACTATATTTTTTTATACCATTTCGCAGCTACTTTCCAAAAAAAAGTGAATTGAAACTTTTTTGATTTTGTGCATTTTTTTATAAAAAGAAATAGTTTCTATTGAGATTTCTAGATTACAAAGCTAATAATGTATAATAATACAGTAATTTAGAATACCAATTTGTGCAATAATTTAAAAAAAAATTAAACTTTTATTGTTTTTATTTTTATTTCTAATAATATTAAATTTTTATAATAAAATAATAAATAATAATAAAATTATAAATAATTGCCATTTACTTACAACAGTTAATAGTATATTATGTATCAAGTTTGATAAACGCCATTTTATACACGAATTTTATTTAGGCACTAGCGAGCTTGCGAGCGAGTGCTTAAGTTAATGAGTGTATAGAAAAGTTTATAAACGAGGTGCATACTTGAAAATTGACAGTTTTTCACAGTGAAAGTAAAGAAATGTTTTATGAGGACTTTACAGTAGAGTCCGTGCCCGAATTTAAGTTATAGTTTACTGCCGGCAAAATTAAAAGGTCAGTACAATGTTTATATAAACTTTTTAAATATTGGCGTTGAGAAACTATTTAATATTTTTGTATTGAGATAATAAAATAATTTTTACATTTAGTATTATTTTACAAGAAAGGCACTTTATTTTAACGATTGTATGACATTTGACAACTGTCAACTAACTTAAAACTAACTTCAGCCCGTGACTAAAAACCTGTTGCTAACTTCAGCCCGTGACTAATGTGCCGTAAAGCCAAAACTTGTCAATTATGTATTTAAAAGGTCACTTAGTGTCATGAAAACATGTACGATAAAGGGCGTTTTAAAGGTGGGAGTAGAAAAAATATATTTCCTACTACGCATGATAGTTTTTTCGCACATGGTAGGCTTTGAAATTAACAAAAAAAACAATCAAATAACCTAACACTTATGTTTTGTGACCTAACAATTCAAAACTTGCTAGTACTGATAATTCATCGCCACCGACAGTGTTTAAAGCTTGCAAGCTTGACTATGTTATTTAAAATTCTTAAAAATCACCCGCGTATGCATTCCAAGTTACAATTCAACAAATGACTGTGTTCCAGTCGTGGTGTGCGAAAAGAAAAAATTAAAAAAATTATATTTATGACGCGCTCCGAGAAAACAAACCATAGCTATGCATAGGTCCAATTTTTGGATTCTTTACTTAATTTCGTTTAACCCTGTAGATCGGTACGGTCAAAGATATGTTTTTTCGAATAATTTATTATTTAGGTACCTATTTTATTTTGTTTAGCCTGGTAGATAAATATTTATTTAGTTTACAATATAAAGTTTATATTAATAATAATTATTTCTTTACTCGGGTTAAGTATATCAATATTTTAAAATTTTAGGTTTTAAGCAGAACAAGTCAAAATATGTTTGTTTGAAGGTGGTAAACAATGTGCTTTGATTAGAAACATATTTTTGGACTTCCATTGTCTTTTTTATGATTAATTCACAACGTTTCAATTGCTAAGTATCTGCAATCGTCTTCAGGTGATAATGACAAATTAAAAAAATTACGAGATTATTTATACCATTGGTATTTGTTCCGCTTGATCCGATCGGGTGCATTCATGTTAAGTTCACCGATCCGTGCGATAAGGGGTTTCCATACTTCATTGATTTCTACGATAGGGTGGCTAAATATTCTAGAGTTATTTTCTATGTATGCTGCTTCTTTAAACTTCCTTTTAAACCAGTTTTCTTCCTTATTGAATATCCCTGCCTCTTGCCACTCAAAAAGCAGAAACAACAAAATCTGGAATCGCCGAACATGCATGGAAGGAACACCATAATATAAAGTGGCAAGAAGCAGGCATAATCAATAAGGAAGAAAACTGGTTTAAAAGGAAGTTTAAAGAAGCAGAATACAAGTTATGTGCGCCACCATATGTTTTGTTAACATTTTTAATTTCTTATAAAAACTGCAACTCTGTAAAAGCATTCTCTGTTTGCATTTCATATTGTACGTTAATCTGCCATTTAGTTAACTAAGTAGCATTATAGTGACGAAAACTGATATCACCACTTTAAATGAGTGGCAATAACGTTTAACTAACTAAATCTACCACGATACAGTTAAAATATCTCAATATTATATTAGCATATCACCACTTTAAATGAGTGGCAATAACGTTTAAATAACTAAATCTACCACGATACAGTTAAAATATCTCAATATTATATTAGCATAGTTGTAATCATGTGATTTGCACCAGCAGAATATACTTTATAGTTTTATAACTTTTTGGTGTATTAGTCTGGTATCTGAAATGTTTTGACACCACCTTAAAGTTGTCTAAACTTTAAAGTGGATTATGAATAGTAACTGTAACCAAATTACATCACTTAAGTATTACTCTTTGAAGTGGTAGTAGCAGTAAAGTGGGTATATCAGTTTTGGTAACGTTTTCGGAACTTTTTCCAAACCTTGAATGTGGCAAAACTTGATTATATAATTGCGGTGGTGATTGCCACGTTCTTGCTACATGTATAAGTGATTTCCACATTTCGTATAAAATTACCACTTTAAAGTTCTCTTCTTTAAAAGCAGACATGTTTACAAATAATCGCCATTGTAGGGAAATAAATGTGTAGTTTTAAACAAATAATTCTGGTTATTACCGCACCAAATTTAACACGTTAATACCTATTTATTGGTTTCAGGTGACCAGAAATAATAAAATAATTATTTTAGGCCTCTAAATAAATATTTTTCATATCCGCTAAGTTTATAGATTTTTTTATTATTTTTTACTACCACATATTTCAACAGGGCATTATATTTCAAGTTTTGATACCCATGTTTAAGAGTAAAATTTAATTCGTGTTAATTTTATTTCTTCGGATTATTTTAATGCTTGTTATTATTTGCAAGTTGTACTCTTACAATATTATAATTCAGTGTTAGTTTAATATCCAGTCAGAGAAAGCAAAGATAAAAAGATAAATGATATGCTGGAAAGAGACGGGGATAGAAAGTAAAGATTAGTAAAGTTATGATTAAGTTTTGGCCGCTATACCTCCACGTTACTGACACTAAAAAGTGTTCCCTATTAGTTACTTCCACGTAATAGAACCGTTTCTACCACGTGGCAGAGATTTTGGCAATATACTTTACAGTTCCAAGTATAAGTGGCCAACACGTTTTAACCACTATAAATGCTACTTGGGTTGTAAAATAAAATTTTGTCTTTTATAACAAAATAGTACATTCTGTAACAAGTTTGGAATACAGCATATTCCGCTCGAGGAAAAATTTGACACACGAGCCGAAGGCGAGTGTGACGGTTTTACGAGAGTGGAATATGCTATTCCAAACGTGTTTCAGACATTATTTTCTCTACGACTACGTAAGAATAGTAACGCTTATATAATTTTAAACAGAGAAAAGAAACCAAGCAGTTTTTGACATTTAAGTTTTTTGTATTGTCAAACCCACGGTCTTGCAACTTCGCCCAATTTCAATAGGAAAAGTGACCTCTCTAATGAGACACCCACCAGATGGCGCATCGTGTTGGATGGATAAACTATAGATGTTTAAAGGTCGTTTTTACCTTCTTTATCTTTGGGTTTTACAATCGTTAGATAAGCTCTCTGGTGGATAATTTTCTTAGATAGAAGGTTTCTATGAAAGTTATCCGCCAAATAAGCTAACTTATTCTAACGATTGTAAAACTGGCTCTAAGTCCTTAAAGTCTATGGGATAAAAGTCAAATGAACTACCTACTTATGTTCACAGCTGTGTTAAGAAACATAACCTACATTTTTATAAACAAGCTTGTGTATTTTGTTACAGGGAGTTTTACTTATTGTTATTGTGATATTCGTTATTGTTATATTATATTGTTCTATTTTTTCTTGTTATAATTGTTCTTGTTATATTTGTTCTTGTTATATTTGTTCTTGTTATACATTTGTATTTGTGCTTTTTAATAGACAAGAAGTCCTGTGTTGTGCCAAAATGTAACCAGCAAATCGTTCCGGCATTAAAGTTTACAAATTATCCAGCTATTCCTAAATAATTTCAAGTAAATTAGCCAAGACCCTTGGTTGGTTTACAAACTAGCCGCTAATTTAGTTAAAAATACGTTTTCAATTAAAATAGCTGACAGTTTCGCTAGTTTATAAACTATCCATGTTTACACATTAGCCGTAACATATATATGATATACGTATGTATTTTATACATTAACATGTTTTACTTACATGTTTGGTCTGGGCATGTGACGGCCGAGGACTTTTTGCATAGAGTATAGACTTTGTTGTCCTATTTTGTTAACGTAAATTATCCGAAACAAACTCACAAATATTAAATTTTTGAAAATGTAAAAAGAATTTAAAAAGTTAGGTTATGGTTATGCAGTAGTTCCACATTTAACTAAGTAGTAGTTTAATTGACTTTACCCCTTCGATCTTAGCGCCACCTAGCGGCTTGGCACGTTAAGGAAGCCACCTCGAAGCTTAAAGTTGCAAGACCTGTATATAAGACCGTGGTCAAACCATTTTGTACCGTCACAATTTTATAATGTAAATTATAATAAATTTAAACAAATGGTAGGTATGCCTAAATCTTTATTATAATTAAAAATAGTTATTTACACTAACTAATAAAAAAAATAACATTGTAACAAATACAAAACTAATTTTACAAGTAATCTATGTCAACATCTATTCTTTTTCTACATTTTAAAGGTCTTTTTTTAAACTTTTTGAATCTGTCAAAACTTCAAAGCCGGTATAGTAGGTAACTGGTTTATCATTTTAATATCAAATTTATTATAATTTTGAATTGTATATTTGAAAAACAATAAATATAACTAATTTTTTGTGCCTAAACCTTAATTATACAACTGCTATTATTTTTTAATTAATAAATAATACAGTAATATTTAAATATTTTTAAATTTTTTACGTTTAGTAAACAGCCAGGAGATGTCGTTACTTGTGACCATTCTTAAACAAGAGTAGGAATATTCTCGCACAGTATTGCAGAAAAACATCCTTTCTATGATCAAAAATTACACTAGAATGTTACTATTCTTAAGTAGTCTTAGAGAAACCCCTTATCGCACGGATCGGTGAACTTAACATGAATGCACCCGACCTGATCAAGCGGAACAAATACCAATAGTATAAATAATCTCGTTGTTTTTAAAATTTGTCATGATCACCTGAAGACGATTGCAGATACTTAGCAATTGAAACGTTGTGAATTAATTATAAAAAAGACAATGGAAGTCCAAAAATATGTTGCTAATCAAAGTCAAAATATGATAAAGCAAAGCGTGTCCGCCAACATTATTCCGTACGATGCTTGACAAAATCCAGCGGCCGGACAAATTCGTTGCTGAAATTGTGGCCAACCTGTCTGGTTAAAATAATTACCTACCTATTACCTGTTTTTTTTAAACACAAATACTAATTAATAATTTAAAAAAAATGCGTTAAAGGCTTAAAAACAACGAACCTGTCTGGTTAAAATAAGTACCTATTACCTGTCTTTTTTAAACCCAAAACCTAATTAATAACTTTTTTAAAATATAAAAATGGTAATTAAAATAATTTTCAATGTCAAACTTGACTTCTTTCAAAAAAATATCACAACCATGATAAAGTTTACGCTGTGTCTAGTCTCACGCTAGCGTGAACGCAATTTTATTCTTATTCTCACGCGGTGACGTCACTAATTATAATCCGTTTTTGTTCCCAGAGCGTTTAATATTTGACAACAAGCTAGATGGCTCCGATGGTAGGGCGGGCGCTTGGCATGCGAGAGGTCCCGGGTTCGATTCTAAGAACTTTTTTTATTTTTTATTTCATAAATTTGTTGTCTCTTTGTGGTTGGGTTGTGTTGTTGAGTTTGGGTTGGTTTGGCTGCAGTAAAAGAGTCTCGATTTTATTATTAGTAAATTAATTTATTACATTTGCATAATCAAATCAAATGACATAATCAAATAATAATCAAATCAAATGACACGACACCTAAAAAGTAAAATTAAATAAAATAATGCGTGAGAATAAAATTAAAATTATTTTGACTTTACCGTAAGAATAAAAATTAAATTGCGTTCACGCTAGCGTGAGACTAGACACAGCGTAAAGTTTACGTTATTAACCTCTTTAAATACAAATATTTTTTTTTGTAATTTTTTTTACATTTTCTATCTTTTCAGCTTGACTTCACATAAACATTTTATGTTAAAAAACAACAAATTTGTATTCTTTAGCCAGGGGTATTCCACTTACATAAATTAACATTGTCATTTAAAACTTTTCTTTCAAATCAAAATTTCAATTGCATTTTACGTAATATTTTAAACAAATATTAAATGTAATTTACTGTAATTTTTATTTTAGTCCACGGTGGGCAATATACAATTGATCGAAAAATTCCGGAAACGCGAGGAGGAGGAATCGCCGGAGGAAAAGGTGTTTCACGTTTGGATGGAATTTTTCTTGGAAGCCTCCAGACCAAAAGAAGATAACATGTTTCGGTTTCCTGTTCTTATTTTGGAACCGAACCAAGAACTAATTCCCAGCTATGTTTGCGTAAATTTAAATTGTGAAACAAAAAGCCTGAAAGTAAGTTAATTATATTGGTTATTACATGCATGTCGCCATAACTATATTAATATGTTTTTGTCGTTAAGATGCCCAACAAAACTATCAAAATATTAAGAAACTGAAAGACACGCATGTTTAACAAATTTTATTGTTAAAAATACTCGTTAAAATTTAATTCAATATTATTCATTGTTATTAGTAGCTTTTTAATTGATGGTTCCCATAACCAACATATGACAGTATTTAATACAATGAAATATCTTCTGGGCTTCCAACGTTTTTCTATATTTAAAAAAAATATTTTTGAATCAAGTTTTTTCCAAGATACATCTATTTTTGTAAATGCACTAAGTAAACTAACTTTATATTGAAATGCTTCAAACTAAACCACTTTTCACATAGGTCCGTATGAGTTAGGGATAATCCCTGACAACATTCGTGATATTCATACGAACATCACGTCGTGATTTTCACAAATTTTATTCATACGGACATCATCCGGATGTCACTGCGTGAGAAATGAAAATCATGTCGTGATTTTTTATGCCAACGGTGTTTGGATAATCATTTTTGCGCCACGTTCGTACACTAAGAGAAAAATTATGTTGAATCAACAGTTTTTGCGGTTAAATACATTTAATAAAAAGTAGAGTAGTAACGCCAACAACCTATCCAGCTTACAGCTTACATTTAATATTTTATTTAAATTAACTATATATAGTTAATTTTAATTCAAGAAATTGTTAACACACTACGAATGTCTCGCAAAAATGAATATCCAAACACCAATGGCATAAAAAATCATGTCGTGACTTTTTATGACCAAACACCGATGGCATAAAAAATCATTTCGTGATTTTTTATGCCATCGGATATTTATTTTTGCGCCACATTCGTACATTGAGAGAAAAAGTATACCTACATATATATTGAATCAACAGTTTTTGTGGTTAAATACATTAAATATTTTTTTGGATTTAAATTAATAGTTAATTTACATTCAAAAAAAAATTAAATGTATTTAACCAAAAAAACTGTTAATTCAATTGTTAACATACTTTTTCTTTCAATGCAATGTGGCCCAAACATGTCGGTGCACCGATGGCATAAAAAATCATGTCGTGATTTTTTATGCCATCCGTGTTTGGATATTTATTTTGCGCCACATTCGTACATTGAGAGAAAAAGTATACGGCCATTTCACGCGCAACGGATGGGACAGTTGCAAGTTTTTATTTACAAAATAACATTGTTCTATTATATTACTAATGTCAAATTTTTATAAATAGTTCTAAACAAAAGCTGTTTAACAAGGTTTTTATTTGGCAAAATTAGGTATCGTGTTGACTGTTTACTTCCTTAAAAATTATTTTTTTTTACTTAAAAAGACTTCTAGTACCTACTGTTCTTGAATAAAAAAAAAATTAATTTTTATTAAGGAATTAAACAGACAACCACGATACCTAATTATGCCAAATAAAAACCTTTTTAAACAACTTTTGTTTAGAACTATTTATAAAAAATTTACATTAGTAATATAATAGAACAATATGTTGTAAATAAAAACTTGCAACTGTCCCATCCGTTATGCGTGGAATGGCCGTATACATATATGTTGAATCAACAGTTTTTGTGGTTATATATATTTATGTATACATTCAATCTTTCCTTCAATTAAATTAACTATAGTTAATTAATTATTACAATACAATGTTTAACAAAACGTTCAAGTTTTGTTAAACATTGTCGGAACTCAAACAAATGTCAGTACGTCAAAATTAATTCAAGCGCAGCATTTTGACAGAGCAGTGTTTTTAGTTTAGGATATTTATCGGCATTGTAAGTAAGGGTTATAAGTTTTTTTAGTTTTTATCAATAATTTCTAATGCTTTTAGTCAAAATTTTATACCACATGAGTTATGAGTTAATAAAATAATTATATTGCTTACCCTATTTGTATTACGCCCTTGAAAAAAAATTGTATATGTTATTTGGAGTATAAGCTCTTTTTGTGCTTCGTACAGTTGCCTGCCTCAGCTACGCTTCGGCCGTCAATCTCTGTACTCACCACAAAAAGAGTCACTTCTACTCCTTATGACATAATCTACTATTTCTACAAGCCTGTAAAACTTTAATAGTTATTTATGTATTAAGGGCATAATAAGGTTTTTATGGTCCGAGGCGCTATTTCGAGCCCGAGCGCGTTAGCGCGAGGGCTAGAAAAGCGTCGTAGGACCATAAAAACCAGTTATGCCAGCAATGCATACAAAACTTTATGCACGATTAATATATTATTATTTTTAATATATTATTGTTTTTAAAGACGTTTACGTCAAAGAATTTTTGTTATAATTGTCATATTATAATGTCAACTGACATCAGTCAGTTTTAAAGTTTAAAGATAAATGAAATTGAGGAAGCAGCTGAAAAGGCGAAAAATTGCGGCCTGCTGCCGGTAAAATCAAAATCTTTATACGAAAAAACTTACTTCGAATATATCAAATGGTGTAACATTGTTGTTTTTAATTTTTGACGTTTCATTATAGCCCGCTGGGCCATAATAAAGCCCGCGGGCTATAAAAAGACGTTTACGTCAAAGAATTTTTGTTATAATTGTCATATTATAATGTCATCGTGCATAAAGGTCTTTTATACACGCCCGTAAAATATTACAGGTCTGTTCCCATAATGTATTGTTTACTTGGATACAAAAACAACAAAATTAACCTATAAAATGGAATTTACTAAGAAGGTGGAAATAAAAATATGCAGCGGTTACTTTATTGATGTAGTGACAGTACAATAATAATAAAAACTTACCATTATTCGTTCCAACCATAACGTATGAGAGTATTTTATACAATTATAGTCAAAAAATAAGAATAAATAAGTAATAAACATTGTAATAGAAGCTATACCTTTACGCGTAATTTACCAACACAAAGCATGTACTATCGCTAACAAAAAAAACTCATACAGCTTAAAAATCTAGTGTTCCTGATTTTCTATCATTTCGTTGGAGTAATTATGGCTTTTAACATGATACGTCACATTTGAAAGGTCTAAAAATAAATACAAAGTTAGGTTGAAGTTTGAAAAAAAAATAATATTTCGTCATCCCTCTGTTTTTGTCAATTACTGCCCGCAAACGGCAAAGCATGGAAGTCGCCGTCTTGCTTTATCTCGTTCCAAATGGCTTCAATGGCTTGCCATAGTTCGTCTGCATTATTGGTTGAAAATGTTGTTAAAAAAGTCATAAAGGGTGTGACAAAGCTCGATGTCAGCTTGACATTGACGGAAAAGTTTTATTCACACAGCCACAATATAGCTGTATGAGTTTTTTTTGTTAGCGATAGTAATTATAATTCTTAAACTTTGACTGGTTACCTGATAAAAATTCATCAGATTTGAAGGTGATTTAAAGTTGTTTCATATTAAAAAATTCAAAATTTCATAAATTTTGTCGAAGTAGAACACTTACTATTTTGAATTTCCGCGCGTTTGTAGCGCTCTCTAGCCTACTGTGGATCGGGATAAAATTTTCCTATTATCGTACAATATCCGGCTTAATAAATATAAATAAACCACATTTAATCCACCATAATAAATACTTTACTTATCGATTACATTAATTAATACTTCTATTATCGTGAAATGTAATATATAATAAAACATTAATAAAACAAGCAAAAATACAAAGTGTTGTAATAAAGACCTGTAAAGTAAAACATAAAAATTTTATTTTAAAAACTGTTTATTAGGTAATAAATAAAATCCTTAAATTAAATAGAAAATATTTAAAATTGAAATATATATTCACAAATAAGTTCACTTGATTTTTTTGGTAGATTGTCCTCTATAACAAAGAAAACCAGATTTTCTTTGCCATTATTAATTTCTTTTATTCGCAATTGCCCCTTATCAATTTTTGCGCCCTTTCTACTAAATTCTTCGGCGGTATTTTGTCTGTAATAAGAGTTCTAAAATTTGTTAAATTAAAAATGCACCTACTACTTACTCATTTATATTTAACAACCATGAGGAATTATTATTATATTTGTATGTGGTGAAACACACTATTAAAACTAGAAATTAAACTCAGCGTCATTTTTAAAATATGGCGTTAACCAAAGGATAATGAAAGGTTCATGTAAGTTTTATATACAGAAAACATTTAGCACTTAACCCATTAACTTGATACTGAATATTGGAGGATGCTGTCTGACTCAGAATTTCCTCAGGATTCCAAACATGTAAAAATATATAGGGCATTCCATTTAAAACCCGAAAGTTGGTATCATTTCCGGAAAACCGGAAGTTCAAAAAATTCATTTGGTACTCTTATAAGTGGCATTTTATATCCTAATTAACCATGCAAAATTTCATGTTTCTATCTTTATAAATAAAAAAGTTACAGGGGTGCGCCTATTCTCAGATACACCCGGTATATATATATATATATATATATATATATATATATATATATACGTGCAAAGCTATCCAACTGGCCTCCGTACATGACAAAGGCACCCAAGCCTCCACCTTAACGAATAGGTTTAAATTTGTATATTCTTTATAAAATTAAAGTATTTTTGACTGTGTGCCATGGGAACATAAGAGGGGTAAAAAAAAATCAAGTTTAATATACACAGAATTTTAAAATAATTTTAAATGTAACAGACCTCCGAATATTAAGTGCTTAAAACGCATCCTTTTTGTGTATCTGTATAGACGCTACGGTCGTATACACCTCCAACAGTGTTGCCTATAATTTTCATTCCATAATTGTCTAGAAGGGGTGAGTTGTTATCAACAGCTTAATTTTAAAACGTATTTATTTGATTTCGGTAGTGTGTGATGGCACGCGTCGCACGATTTTGCCTCCAATCTTAAGTGAACAGGTGTTTTATGTGTTGGAGACAAAATGAATAGGTAAGAGAGTTTGTAAATTGATTATTATTGTTTATTTTAAAAATAAATATTCTGTAGAAACTTGGTTAGTCGTTTAATTTTATATT